GACGCTTCACCCGACGACCACGTGCCGCGAGCTGCGTCCACACATACACATTTATAACCTATATCACCCTTCCTTGTCCCACGAAACCCAATACAATAATCATGCCGAGGCACCTCAGTCCTCGAACATAGTAACAGCCTTAAAAGAACCGAGGCATAAAGTTAAACTTAGGAATAAACAATATAAGCGACAAACAAGAGGTATAGTATATAAACGAAGTATGGTATATCATATTATTCCTAAGGTTAACTTAATATCGCGTTTATTTGAAAGGCTGTTAGAGCTACGCTAAACGCATCTGCTCTGCCTCCTCAAACCCGGTGAATTTGTTAATGCCTCTTGGAGGCAAACACTCACTCAATACAAAAAAAAACCCGGACAGGTACCAGGTTTTAGTCCTCCAAATCGATCTGTCTTCCGTCATCTCAAAACAATATAGTGACCATCACATTTTGCGTAATCCATGACAAAATACGAGAATAATCAACTTAAAATATCAATAATAACAAGGTAAAAGATGTAGTTGAAATATAAAGGTTCTGTAAATCTCGGACGATAATGTCGAGTAGAGTCGAGAACGAGGTGACGGTGACTTACAAAATTCCCACTAATAACACTACAGCAATATTAATACTAGGTCGCTTCGAATATTCTTTTGTTCAATCTAGTTCAATCTAGGTCTTTGGTGAGTTTTCAACATGATGTTAAATTAAAGAAATTTCGTTATGTCAATAAAAAAGGCAATATTATAAAGTGATTTTATTAGATATCACGGAAGTTAGAGTATGTTTTCTTCTTGTTTGTATATTTTAACTCGCTAACTTAACGTCATTTAGAAATTTAAATAAAGTTAAAGTTGTTTTCAAAGTGCATTATTAACTTCATTGTACACAAAACCTTAGATTTAACTTTTAAACTCAACAAAATTAATTATTTTACCAAGTGATCCAAAGTAATTATTACTAACGCAGGTATTTCGTATAGTTTTACTCCTCTTTACTACAAATCATGAGTCCCTGCAGACTACGGTTTTTTAATCATGGTACTGTCAAGCCAAAATATTATTAAACCAAATCTGTAGCAATGTACGCACTTCCATTCTTACACTGACTCTCCACAAGTCTTGGAAAAGTTTATTCATATGAGAATTCGGTACACTAGCGTCGCATAATTCGCCCGACTAAACTATCAACCGATAATTTTGCGACAAATTTAAACAGCTAAAAAAGTCAAACGAAATTTAATAATTTTGTATCTACAATAACGAAATTCGTAAGGATGTTTAGTATTTACCGTCGTCGGTCTTTCTATCGCTCATATTACGATATCATAAATTTTGTTACAAACACAAAATTATACAAATCATATTTAATTCAAAATAAATAACTGACATTACCTGACAAACATGAAAAGTGAATGTCAAAGAATAAAGTCTAGTTGGCTATGGTTGGATTAGATTTTTTTCAGTCTTTGAATTATAAAAAGAGGCCATACACAAAATATAACAAGATTTTTCACGATTAAAATTGATAAGTTTATCTTACATTTAATTAAGTAAAAAGTGAACTAAGAAAGATAATTATTTTGGTAATAATTTGGATGTTAAATTTCAAAGAAATTGCTCCCACAAAAAGTTTTAGTATGTTGTGTCGGCAGTGGAACCCTACGGTCATTTATGATAATAAGTTATAATCGACTTAAATTATAGTCACGGAAATCCGCGGTGTCCCACTTACAGAAAAATTGTCTTGTCTCTTGCAACCAGACACACTTCTTATAAATAACTAACCAATAACCAATTCTACAATGGGTTCCGTAAACGAAACAATAAACGCAATTAGTCGTTTACCACTGAGCTGCGTACTAAAAATGCAAATAACAGTAGTTTTTGAGTTGGAACACCAACAGATTCCCCGACTGTACATTGTAAATGAACTCACTGATCAAGTCTACTTC